ATAACTAAATCGTGAAATCATTATAATCGATTAGTTGAAAGTTGAAAGACTATTTCAATAAGTTGAAACACTGAATATAACTTAATTTTCTTGAAAAATATCCAGTGATGGAGCATTAAATGATAATTTGCTGCTTGAATAAATAGTTATATACTATTATTTATGGCAAATTATTGTGTGTACCGTGGCTGAACCACAGTTCAAAATGACATCATGAATTTTATGAGTTAGAATAATGTACATTATGTGTTAGAATAATGTACTGTATGTGTTAGATAATGTATATTATGTGTTAGAATAATAAAACTTCTGGAATAAATTAATGTATTTTATGAGTTAAAATAATGTACTATATAAGTTAGAATAATGTACATTATGAATTATGAAAACGTATGTTGCAGCGAGTCACGTAAAAAAAAAAATTGTGCAAAAAGATATAATTTTTGAACCATGGTCTACACAGCTATGTGAACCACAATCCACGCAATAACGATTGATTATTTATTAGCTGTAGAAATTAAAAAGTGGACAATTATCATTGTTTACTAAGTGTGTCATCTCTGAGATTAGCTAATTCAGGACTAATAGGAAACGGTAATTATAAAAGTGAAAGCATACTTCCTCTGAGCTATAACGGGCAGTAAATTTAGTGGACGGGGTAAAATTTGTAGATAAAAATTGGGGTGAAACGACGACGTAAAAAACAGCCTCGAGAAATGTGACCGTTATGACCAGGTGGATTCAAATCAGCTAAGGTAAGTAGACAGCTCACTTCGGCGCGTACACATCCGTTACGCAACGCCGCTCGTTTCTCAGTTCTCAGTGTTCTCTCTTCCCCTTACGCCGCCCAAACCCTTTTCTCTCTCTCTCTATATCACTGTATGTATTTGCATCAGCATTGTGAATACTGAATAGCTTTATTTCTTAAATTGTGTTTAATTTGTGCATGTAATCTGGAGAATATATATATGTATATGTATATGTATGATCTAGAAGATCGAGGTTAAGATTTTGCCCTAAGGTAAGAATTAAGGAGCAATGGGGTGTGCTCAATCGAGATTGGACAACGAAGAATCGGTGTCGAGATGCAAGGACCGGAGGAATCTGATGAAACAAGCGGTAATGGTGAGGAACGCCTTTGCTTCGGCTCACTCCGCATACGCTATGGCTCTGAAGAACACCGGCGCCGCCTTGAACGACTACGCGCAAGGAGAGGCGCCGCCTCCGCCTCAGTCGCCGGTGGTTGTGAGCGAGCCGGCATCTGAGCCGCCGCCGCCGCCTCCGCCGCATATGATGGAGAGGACTCCCCTCCCTCCGCCGCCCCCGCCGTTGCCGAGCTTCTCTCCTCTGCCGCCGCCGTTGCCGAGCTTCTCTCCTATGCCGCCGCTGCAGCGGGCCATGACGATGCCTGAGTTCTCTAAATCGAGGGGGAAGATGAAGAGCATCGCGATTGATGAGGAGGAGGAGGAGGAGGAGGAAGAGGAGGGTGGGTTGAAGCTGAGGAATAAACGCAATGGGGTTGAGAAATCGGGTCCGGTAGACAATGAGACCCCAATTAAGACACCGGAGCCGCCCCCTCCTCCACCAGCAGGCGTGGCTTGGGATTATTTCTTCACGGTGGATAACATGCCGGGAACAACCCTAGGCGATGTGGAGGAGGAGGACGAGGAGGAGGACGGGTATGTAGAGGAGAATGACGACGGCCATGACAGTCCACGAACTCCGAAATTTGAGAATGTGGGTGGAGATCACGACGGCGTTGAGGAATTCAAGACTCCGGAGAAGGGAGGAATTGAGAGTCAGATGGAGGAGACCCCGACGCCGGTGACGGCGAAGGAGAAGCACTTTGTTCATTCTAACACGGCGCCTCCTGGGATTAGAGGATTCATGAATGGTGGGAAAGTTGGCACGGCAAGTAGTGCAGATTTCTACAAGGTTTTGGGCGAAATTGATGATCATTTCCTCAAGCTTTCACAGTGTGCTCAAGAGGTTTCAAAGATGCTTGAGGCCACTAGGATGCATTACCATTCCAATTTCGCAGACAAAGGTAACTGAAAACTTTGATCTTTGAAAGTAAAGCTTTGATTTTGGGTTAAAAGAAATTATTTTGAATGATCTTGGTAGAGTTCTGGAATCCCATTGAAGCTTCTACTGATTATAATTATATTTGGCAGCTCTAATTGTTGAGTTTTAGAATTTTGTAGTCAGTTTCATCTGATTCTTCCATTAGTATCAAAGAGAAGTAGAGAACACATAAAGCTCCCTTCGCATTATTGTTCAATTGATCCCTGATGTGTATGTGGCACCAGGAGAGATCTGGCTACTTTATTATGTCTCGGGAAGTTATTAAGCTCACAGATCTTACAAATTTAATGCAAATTAGACATTTTTACATATTGGTGCATCTATCGTATGAGTCAAGTGGTGAACTATACATCCTTGGATCTAACCAAATGTGGAAATACTTAGTCTTGTTGCCACACATTTCATTGGTCCTAGGAAAACCATTAGTTGATTAAAACAATGTGCTTTCTTGAACGCGTTGATTGAAATACTCTTTTTTCTTTTTGCAGAAAATATTAATCATGCAGAAAGGGTTATGCAAATCATCACATGGAACAAGTCTCTTAAAGGCATATCCAATGGCAATGGTGCAGAGGAAAACTATGATGATGATGAATCCGAGACTCATGCCACTGTTTTGGATAAGTTGTTGGCATGGGAGAAGAAACTATATGAGGAACTAAAGGTGGATTGCTTTGCCTTGTTATTTTTCTGTAACTGGCCTTTCATCTTGCTGATTTTCTTCTTTTCTTTAATACCGTCCTGCTAAACCTCTAATTGATGATATGCAATTTTTCTTTTGTATATGCACATCATGTTAACCTTGATAAATTATCCATTTGTTTTATTTGAGCCGATAGTAAGTCCTGTCATTTACACTAAGGTCCTCCCACCAACCCACTTTCCACGAAGTTCTAAATAAAAATGTCAATGCAAACAAAACTAGAAACTATTCTATCTTTGTATTCCAGTCTCAAAATTTCAATGTTTCTATGTAAAACTGATGTGGTAACAATTGATTGCTCTATGCTGATAGGCTGGTGAAATTATTAAACATGAGTATCAAAGGAAGATTGCCATACTAAACAAGCTGAAAAAGCGCAATGCTAGTTCTGAATCACTGGAGAAGGTGAAAGCTGCTGTTAGCCATTTACATACTCGTTATATAGTTGAAATGCAATCTTTGGATTCAACCGTTGCTGAAGTGAATGAGATACGTGACAAGCAGTTGTACCCAAAACTTGCTGCTCTTGTTCATGGGTACGTTTCTATATGACATACCTATCTGCTTGCTGCTCTTGTTAAAATATAACTGTCCCTTCCCAGTCTTTCATGATTATGTTTTCTCATTTTATTTAGAGGATACTGTATTTTCATTCTAATAATCTGAGTATCATGTTTTGTTTCCTGGTCTCTCTTCTATTCCATTCAAGAGCTTATGCATATGGTATAACTGTTGGACATCATTTTCTCAATTTCTCTGTGGAACTTTATATTTCATTTCAAACATAGTTCTAGATCTAACTAATGTTTACTGTTTCTTTTCTCATGTTTATTGCACGAGTGGTTGCCACATTTTTTGTTGTTAAATGTGTCACAATGATTGTAGATGACTAGATAACAGGTTCTAAATTTGCAGGATGGCAAAGATGTGGCAATCCATGTGTAGACATCATGAAGACCAGATGAGGATCGTAATGGAACTCTCATCCATTGATATCTCTGCAACCCCCATGGAAACAAGCAAACATCATCAGTCAGACACCATACAGCTAGCTGATGTTATTAAGGAGTGGCACGACCAATTTGAAAACCTCGTGAATAATCAAAAGATGTATATCCAAGCCCTCAACAGCTGGCTGAAACTAAATCTCATTCCAGTAGAGAGTAGCCTGAGGGAAAAACCCTCGTCCCCACTCAGAGTTCAGAACCCGCCTATTCAGCCACTCCTCCATGCCTGGAATGAGCTGCTTGAGAAACTTCCCGATGAGCACTCTAGAAGTGCAATTAATTCTTTTGAAGCTGTGATAAGGACCATCATTATTCATCAAGAGGAGGAAGTGAAGCTGAAGGAGAAGTGTGAAGAAACTAGAAAAGAGTATATGCGCAAGAGGCAGTCTTTCGAAGATTGGTACCATAAGTATATGCAACGTAGAACTCCACCCGATGAGATGGACCCTGATAGAAGAACAGACGCTAATGGCAAAGACCCTATTTCAGAGAGGCAATTTGTGGTAGACAGCTTGCAGAAGAGGTTAGATGAGGAAACCGAAGCTTATCAAAAGCATTGTATACAGGTAAGAGAGAAATCTTTGGGAACTCTGAAGATTCAGTTGCCTGAACTTTTCCGAGCCATGAGGGATTATTCTCACATGTCTTTCAATGCTTATGAAAGCTTGAGACACCTAGTGGCATCACAGAACCCAAATCAAGCTTCATAGTATTCTCCTTCCTCCTTTTCTTGCACAATGAATGTAGATTGCAGTGAACCTTTGACGACGTAATGATCTACAATTGACTATGTCAAATTCTTGTTGGTTCGTAATGGTAATGACATGCTAATTTCAATTGAGTTAGCACATTCTCACATGCATATGGGTTTTACTTGATGAGATGTGTCTGTATATTTATCTCATGCACACACTTTATCCTTCTACATCATTATATTTGCTTGAGAATGTTAACTGTTAAGGAGTATCAAGAGTTTATGCTGGAGCTAGATTATTGGATATATGCTCACTAGGGTTTGTTGTCTATGCTGGAGCTAGCTTATTGGATGTACCCTCACTAGGGTTGTAAACAAATCGAACACTAATGAACAGAACAAAGCGCTTGTTCGTGATTGTTTGTTAAGATTTTGAGAATATTCATTTTTGTTTATTAAGATTTTGAGAATATTCATTTTTGTTTATTAAACAAGCATGTTTATGTACATTATTAAACGAACAATAAACAAGCTTGTTCGCAAACTCTTACCAAACAAGTATACAAATGTTTAGACTCTGTTAGTTTATTAAACGAGCTCTAAAATCTGTTCATTTATGTTCGTTTACCCTAATAAACGAACATTTACTGAACACAAGCATAAGTAATTTACCAAAAGCTCTACTTGCTTACACCCTAATGATGCTTACAATTCTTACAAGTAGATGCTTGGCTTTGATTCTTCAACTCATCTCCAGCTACCAGAAAGAATGCAGTGTGCCTGAATCACAGTGAACTTGAGTAAGAAACCACTCTTCAAATTCTTATTTAGTTGAAACCAACATAAATGGCAAAGCATGTACCTGAAAAAATTCATCATTTTGGTTTTAGAGTCATCATCTATATCTGCAGTGCTGTCCAATGCTTGCTGCATATGATGCAACCACCTCTCTGCAGCTTTGTGAGTGACTGGAAATGGGCGATGCCGCCCAATCAAGGCAGGATGACCTGTAGAAAAGGTTAGATGCTACACATATATATTTTGTATGCATATATTCAGCACTGTTGCAAAAATCCACGCTAGGCGTCCCTAGACCGTGGGGCACCCGCCTAGCACCTAAGTCGACCGCCTAGGCAGTCACCTAGCGCCTTAACTCGGCCGACGCCTTAACTCAGCCAAATTCTGTCGTGTTAACTCGTCCATTTCAGTCGAGTTAGCCGAGTTAATCCGGTCTGCTCGGCCTAGTTAATTTTTTTCATTATATATATAAAATATAACATATATACAGCCATACCCTTGCAGGCATGCACTACTAGGTGCCGCCTAGCCCGTCTAGCCGCTATGGGCTACTCTATCGTCCGACTAGCACCTAGCGCCTATTGCAACCATGATATTTAATCGGTATCATAGATTCATAGCATGATTTTAGCATAGGCCATCTAGTGGCTAGGGATTACTCTACAGCCCGGCTGGCTACTGCAACCATGATATTATTATTGGGTATCATAGATTCATAGCATGATTTTAGGCTTAGGTTTAGGGGTATGATTGAATTTCCATCCTTAGTCCTTACCATAGGCTTATATCAATCTAAACTACAACAGACTTTCCACCATGTTAGAACACCTCAACATCACAACATCACTCTTATTCAACAAAGCAGGCAGCCAATTCACATGCAAATATATGTAATGAAAAGGAAATCAAAGTTTTCATGAAACCAGTAAAAAACTGTTGAGTTTACCTTTCCTCTGTGAAAACAGAGAAGGCCCTCCCATTCTTTGCACAAAGAACTCATACTGGTTCCTAATGGCATCTTCTTTTGTTGAACTAGCAAAAATTGAGCGGAACCACTCCTCCTCATCATCAAAAACCCTAGCCCCAAATCAAAAAACCCTCTCCTCATCATATTCAAACCATCCACAAGATTCCAAAAACAAAATAAACATATACAACATCCTGTTCTATCAGTGACTTGATTGAGTAAAGAATGCAGTTATATAGTGCATATATAATAAAAATTCAAAACAAAATTTTGAAAAAAATATTTAGCAAAGAGAGAAGAAATTATAGTGAATTAGAGAAGTAAAAACCTGGTGTAGAAATTGGTGGAGAGATTGATAAAGGTCTGAAGGCCGAGCTTCTCGTAGAGATTGGTCTCATCAATGGCGAAGGCGTCGCTGGTGTCCACCCCGCTCCACTCCGCCGCCTTCTCTTGCAACGTCTGCATTCTCTCTCTCTCTCTCTCTCTCTCTGAAACTTGGAAGCTTGAACCTATGAACGAGAAGAGATGAAGCGGGCGATTTATAGTTGGCGTGAGGAGGCCGCGTGGAAGACACGCTGTATCGCTTGGAAAAGGGGTCGCTGGTCAATGGAAAATGACGTTGACTTTCACTACGGATTTTTGCTTCATTCTGTTCATTGGACGGATTTCAAGAACAAATAAATAAATATGTATGGGTTCAAATGAGTAAGTTTTTACTTCTTAGGAGTCACGAAAGAAATAAGAATTAATCTTAGCCTTAAATTTAAAAAAATCAGACAATAGATCAAATTTTAAAAAATAATATTTGCGGTGCTATTTTTGTAATTATCACCAATTTTACTATACAAATTTGGACACTTATATTTAGTATTAACATTTTTCATATTTAGTATTAAAAATTGCACTTGCAAAAAAGCGACAGTGCATTGCACTTAGGATTTTGATTTGAGAGTTTATGACTGAGTTTTTTATTTTATTTAGTTTATTTGTTAACTTTTTAGTGCTTAAGATTTAATATTTACGGTTTAAATTTAAAATTTTAAATTTTCATTGATTTTATAACAAATTTATCATGTTTGCATATTTAGTTGTTAAAAATTGCATATTTAAGTATTCTTTGTATAGTAAGATAATGATAATTATGAAAATGTCACCGCATGTTTTTAAATCTGATCATATCCGTCAAATTTTTACAGATGTAAAATTGAGATTAATTCTTATTTTTTTCCTATAGTACTGTTCTCACGTGATCCTTAGAGGTCGTTTGGCACTTCCCCATCAATTGAATTTCTCATAATTAAAGTGTTTACAACAAATATGTTTGATGTGAATAACTTTACAAGAAAAACTAATTAGCATAGTTATACTTATTAACCAACAGATGTACCCGAATTGACAGTTATACTTGTGGCCTCTTTTACCTACTAATCATGGGATTGATATATATGGTTGATTATATCTGTCAAGTGAAGTTAATTAATTTTGTGATATTTTATTATTTCTGACTTATTCTTTAAACTAAACATGGGGTTAATAGGGGAAGACGTTTTGAGAAAGAGGGAGGATATATGACTGTGGGCTGCTGCTAATTGGTTAGTTTCATCTTTTCAATGGATTCTGTGGTAAAGTGTCAACACTGTGAGGTAACAGTGTTCATATATTCCATTCCATACAATAATAACATTATCTTATTATGTGGAGACGTTTTATTCGATTAATCCCACGTGTACCAGCATGTGACGTCGTATTTGCGAACTGGATTCATGGAAATTGCACCTAAGGATGCCTGGCAGCATGACAACATTACTTGGGGGATTAAAATTTACCTATTGTCCTCTGGGGATTATGGAAAGCACGGAATGAGGGAAGTGGTTAACATGATGAAAAATGAGGCTCAGGCCAATCGGGACCTAAACCTCATGAGAGGTGAGTGTACAAGGTTGATGGAGAATTTGAGAACAATTAAGATCATGCATTTATGGAGGGAGGCCAACAAGTACATTTCTGCATTTCTGGGGACGATTGTATTCGAAGAACCTCCAGATTGCTAGAAGATCTCCTGAGGTCCCCTCCATTGCACCAAAAAACAAAAATTTCACAACTTTTAGTCATAATTTGGTTATTATGATGTTTTTTTAAGTGATAATATTGCTATTGATTAATAAGTTTTTCTTTATATCTATTAATTATGTCGTGAATTTGTTAAAAGTGTCTCGAAAGAGGTGACTAAGTGGATGGAACATGATTCTTCCTGCTTAAATGATCATAAGATTAATTCTTGCTAACATTCTCTAGATCGAGCCATCATACCGGGTCTTCTTATTGCATTTTACACAGGAGTGTCAAGTGTGTTTTACCTAGTGTACATCATTACATAGTAATTGCGTGTTTCTCTTGCCATCCAAAAAATGTTAAAAGTTATCACAATTAATAAATATTTTAGATGTCAATGACCTTGTGATCTAGTGATATGGAGTGACTCTTCCAAATAGAAAGTCATGAGTTTGAATCACAGGTATTGACGGATTACATTGTAATAGAGGAGATTCTAACTTGTTAATATCCTCTTGCTGAGCCTATAACATCTTCCCTCATCACTCAAAAAAAATAAAAAAAATTAAAAGATCACAATCAATAAATATTTTAAATGGTCACAAATTCAATTATGTTAATATTTTTTTAGTCGAGCCCATCAATCTGTATTTTCCTAGTGTAATTTATATAGGAGTGAAGTTTACTCCGTGTATGCACAATTGCACACCCTTAAATAGTGGCTGCGCATTTTATTGACACCTAAAAAATGTTAAAAGTCATCACAATCTATAAATATTTTTGATTGTTATGAGTTTAATTCTTGTTAAAATCTCAAACCACCTACACCCAATCTTCTTAGTTCCGTATACCGTCTACACAAATATAGAATTTATTTAGAGTACATTTTTCAATAGTTACTATAAATTTATTTAGTCATCCAAAAAAATATATTAAATAGTTATTGCAATCAATAAATGTTTTAGATGTACTTTCACATATCCTCTAGATAATTGATGGATATTAAATGAGTTATATAGCACCACTCCACTATAAATAATTGTCATGATTGTGGAGATAAAATGTGCACCAGACAAAACACCCTTGTTATACTCATGGAGTCAAAAATATTTCAAGCATAACTTATCACTTACCGATAAGCTCCTTAATGGGGTTGCAAAAGGTGATGCTCTTATGTTAGGTCTTTGCATCTCAGTCCAACAAGATAATGAAAAAATAAATCATAGTAATTAAATTATTCATACGAGTATCAAACTCTAAGATTGGTAGTTGAATTCTTGATAGTCCCTATTAAGTTGGTTTATGTCCCTTTGAATTCATTGGTCATGTGAACATTTATGCGCACACAAATGCACAAAAATGTATGTTAAAAGGCAGAAGAATGTGCACTTGAAGGCAGGAGAATATGTACTGCAAGGTACAAGAATGTGCACTCGAAGGCACAAGAATACATTAGAAGGTAGAGAAGACTGTGCACTAGCAGGCCAAAAATACGCACTCGAATGCCTAAAATTGTGCACACAAAAACAAAAAATAATGCACTGAAAGATAAAAAAAAATACACTTACACAAAATTACCAAAATGCTACTACGTTTTAACAAAAAAAATAATAATAACAATTCACTCATACTGGATTGTTAATCTTGTTTAGATCATTCATAAAACAAAAAAAAAAAAAAAAAAAAAATCTTGTTTAAATCAATGGTTGAGATTTAAGTGAGTAGGCCCCACCAACCACAATCTCCTCTTCAAGAAGTGAATTGGTATTTGTTTTCTCCATCAATTAAGATCTTCACCTCAACATGCTTAAAAATCTTTTACTACATACTACTTCTTGCAAGGTTTGATGGAGTTGTTGACAAGCTGCAACTACACACTCTCCCTTGTTAGCCACTGCATATATATAAACTACCACATGGCTTTAATTATATATCCTTCCAATGGTCTAATAAATTGCCCTCTCCCTTAGCTTAAATCACATAAATTCTAAGTTTCCACACTACTCCGTTAATATTTAATAGTTTTGTTAAGGTTGGAGCAAAATTAACTAATTTTAGGATAAATGAGGGGGGAATGTAGTGTGCCCATAATTGATGGGACCGGAGGGGAAGGGAAAAATGACTATATCACTATAATCAAAGGGTCAAGAGTGCTATTTTTCTTTATTATATTAATCCATACGTGATGAACATGTAAATAAAATGCAAGAAACATGAAATATTTAGTCCATAGTAAATAAAATTTCCTAGAATTTTATAGTGATGAGTATTCAATTCAAACAAGATAACTGTTCCGTATTATACATATAATAAGAAATGTTTTATGTGTTGAAATTGAAAGCAGTAATGACATAATTCAAGCCAAATTGCCAAATTTTCTATCAGATGAATTTGTTCACTTTCCTATTTTGGCTTTAAGTAGCCTTTCTTTTTATATACTTTGTCACCTTTAAGTCTTTAACACACACAGCTGAATTGTTCAGATAAAATGGAAACCAAAAATACAACATCTTCTTATATTGGTGCACCTCTGAGCTTCACTTGAAGAATTCACTGGGGAATTGCAGCAATAAAACCTTTTCATTTGTTTTCTCCCGAAAGCGGGTTGATAAACATCTTTAATTTGTTCAATATATTAACATGGTTATAGAAATTCCCAACCAAAGAGACAAATCGCCACCAACCAATCTGAATTGGACTGGACTCATGAACTCATGAAAGCAACATATCAGAGAACTTATTCAGCAATGATGACCTTATTAAATTCAATTGCAACAGATCAGAATAACCTCATTAATTCTCTTCGGACAAAACTACAATAAGGCCAGGACAATTTATTACAGAAACTGTATAAGAAATTAACAATAACGACAGGAAATTTATGAAGTGATAGGCTGCTATCTTTACAATAAAAATGTTGCAGAGATATTATGTTAAAATATGGATTAACTACTCCAGTTTTAGTCCCTTGACTATTAGATTTTTTAACTTTCTGGTCATCGACTACAAAATTGATCTCATTAATTAATACCTAATGACTTTGAAAACTTGCCAATTTTAGCCCAACAAGAACAATATTTAGTGCCTGACTATATATAGGACTAAAGTGGCAAGTTTTAAAAACTCAAGTACCAAATTTTGATTGATTTTGAAGTTGATGATTGGAAGTACAAATGAATTTAAATAGCTAGTTGATGAGTTAAAGTTGGAATGATCTCTTTAACTAAAACAAGAAAGTAATAGGCAATTGCAAAAGATACTATGCAGTTTAACCACAAGCTAAGTTGCATAGGTATATACATATATAATACACACATTCCTTGGAATTCCTTAGCCAGGGATTTCGACACCTTCTTCTTCAGAGTTTTCATCACTCTCTTCCGAGCTTTCAACCTTTCTTGATGAGAGCTTCCAACACTTAACTCTTCAAAAATTCCCACGCTTTCTTCTTTAGAGCTTTCCACACTTTCTTCTTCAAGCTTCCCACAATTTCTTCTTCAGAGCTTTCATTATTTGGCAATTCAACCTTGAAAAGTAATTGAAAATGAGTACAAAAATAAATAACTAAATTAATAAACGGAATTAGAAGGCAGAAAACTAATAGTTTTAAATAATGAACAAGAATTAGAGAGCAACCTTAGTTCCAACTTTACGAACACAAAGTGGACAAACTGCTGTTCCCTTAAACAATAACATCTTTGCAGAAGAAATATGCTTTGCAGAGGTCACAAGAGAAGAATAGCAACATTCTAACACAATTAACTTCAATGTTCCAATTTTTGCAAACTCCAGTGGAACTTGTTCCAATTCCCAACAATATCTCAAGACTAGGTGCTCCAAAACTGGGAAATGATTAGAACTTGCATGCCAATGTTTGAGATCTGAACGTGAAATAAGAAGTGCCTTTAATTTGCGAAAGCACAGCTTTGATGGTTTCCACTCTGAACCACAGAAGGCAAAATCTTTTAGTTTAAGCGCCTCAAGGTGCGACAACTCACCAATTGTGTCTATCTCCTTCCATGGAAGATAAGTATATCAAAGTGTTAACATCTTAAGGTTTGGTGGAAAACCTGTTGGTAGATAAAAGCACTCAACTCTTCCTACTTCAAACTTCAACTTCTCAAGTACATGTAAATACACAAGGCTCCCTAGATAGTTAGGCGTCACTTGGCCTTCAATGAAAATCCCAAGTTTCCTTAGGTTTGGAACCATTCTGAAGTTTGGTTTTTCGTCGAAGCTAGCAACTTTCAACCAACAAAGAGTTTGTAGATCTTTTTTGACGAAGCAAGGGAGATACTGTTAACATCTCTTGTCAACATGGAAATGCCTCAATTGTGGCAAATCCAAAATATCACATGGCAGTTGCAAAAGACATTTTTCCATCCATGAAGTTACTATGAGAGTTACCAAATTCTTAAGCTTGAAAAATCGAAACTCGTAAAGAGAACCAATGGTACTTAAAGCCAAGTATCTCAAATGAACCAAGTCTGTTATTTCGCTAGGCATGCCTCTTGACCACTTAACTAATGATAAATCCAATACTCTTAGCAATTTCAAACAAGGGTATACCAACCTGCATTTTGAATGGTATACATCTTTACCAAAGCAGATAATGGAATGGATTTTATCTAAAATGCAATTCCCATAACTCGCTTGAGTGATCGGCCAATGACTTGTTTGACAGCTTAACCAACAACTAGCTTTTGGAGTATGATCGTCATTGATAATGCACAAAGTATTACCCTTTATTGTTTCTCTCACACATAGCTCATGCACTTTATCATGAAGCTTACATGATTTAACTTTGCCATCAATACTTAGCTCATTAATTTGAACAAGACTTCTATTAATGAGATCATGCAAGTAACTCTCTCCCACTTCTTCCAAACTCATATTTTTATGTGGCATTAAAAATCCCTCTGCAACCCATAAGTTGATTAATCTCTTAACAAGAATGACATTGTCTTCAGGAAACACACCAAAATAATGAAAGCAATCTTTCAAGTGACGAGGTAAGTAGTTGTAGCTCAATAAAAGAATTTTTGAAATTCTGTTGTTATTATCATTTTTATCAACTCCATATCTCCATATTTCTAGAGACTTTGTTGTAGCCAAAAGTCCGGCAATCAGAACAACTGCTAGCGGTAATCCACCGCAACCACTAACAATGCGTTTCCCAAGTAACCCATATCCCCAGGGAATAGAATGTCTTCGCCCAAACACCTTTCTTGAAAATAATTGCATACAATCCTCTGGAGTTTGATGATGCACATTGTAGGGATTTCCACTTAAGTATTTAGCCACCTCTTCGAACCGAGTAGTTACTAAGATTCGGCTTCCATTATAATTATTTGGAAAACATCCTTGGATGGCATCCCACGCTGCAGTGGTCCATATATCATCTAATAAAATTACATACTTCTTGCCCATCAAACTTCTGCATAATTGCTCAGCTATTTGAGCATTGTCTAGGTTGTAAATTTCACTTGTTATTGGTGAAATACAATGTAATAGACCAATGAACATCTCCTTAAGGTTTTGAACCTGAGACACAACTACCCATGCTCGAATGTCAAAGCTAGCAATAGTAATTGGATGTCCATAGACTCTTTTGGCTAATGTAGTTTTTCCAATGCCCCCTTCCCCGACGAGTGGGATAACTTGTAGTTTAAGCTCTAGGTTTTCAACATATTTCCGAAACTTGTGAATGTTTCTATTCCTCAAAATGGTGAAAACTGATCTCATCAAGTGTGAATAACAGAGCCGGTTAATTATCATCTCTATATCACTGTTGAATCCCATAGTTATAGTTACTTCATTCTCAGGCACTAAAGCATTTTGGTAGGTATCCCAAACAGTAATGTTCTCTTTCTCAGGGTCTAAAGCAGTTCTTTTTTTGCCCGCCAGGATCCATTCTTCAACATGCTCAATATCTCTTACCACATGTTTCAAGGTCTGATGAAGTTCTTCACTAGCCTGAGTAGCCTCAAATACATACCCTTTCACGTTTGCTGCCAAATATACTCGTCTCAGTTTATATTCTATTTCATTTTCGTAATAACTACTAGAAATTCTAGATCGGATTGCGTCATGCAGAAATGAAATAGTAGTTATACACCTGGTGTCCCCGTCATTCATTTTGGTGTCACATTCCTCCAAAAAGGTTTGCAGAATGCAGAGCTTTGCAGACAGAAACTCGATCGTTTTAAGCAGCGACACCTTCATTCCTCCGGCATCAAAAATCAAAAGTAGTGTGGGATCCACAAGGTCTTGCTCTACTATTTTGATTAGAGTGGTTACAGCATCAAAAGCCATTATATTAAACTTCCCTAAAGTGTTTCTGGAACTGGTATCAGAGAGTTATTATTAGTCTCAATTATTGAGCTAGAAAATAGCAGAGTAATGGTGCTTGCAAGATGGGTTAAAACCTAAAGTTTTAAAATGGCGCACCTTAAGTACACAAATCAGTGCACACAAACAAAACACCTTAAGAACATAAAACACGCACCTAAAGTTTTAAAATGGCGTACCTTAAATTTCAACAACTGATGCACCTTAAGCATACAAATCACGTACCTTAAGAAGGAAAACAACGCACCTTACGAAGAAAAACCATGCACCTAAAACTTTAGGCCGACGCACCTTAAGCACACAAATCACGCACCTTAAGAAAGAAAACCACACACTTAAAGCTTTAGATCGATGCACTTAAGTTTTTCAACACTTATGCACCTTAAGCCACACGCTACAAAAACCCCTACCTTAAACACAAAAATCACGCACCTAAAGAAGAAAAATCACACACCTAAAGCTTTAGATTGACGCACTTAAGTTTTCAACACCTAATGCACCTTAAGCCACAGTATAAAAACCATTCACCTTAAGCACAAAAATCACGCACCTTAAATTTGACCTAAATGCAAAAAGACTAAATTGTCACTGCACATTTTTTTTTAATCCTGAATGTTGATTTAGGCAAGATCAATGACTCAGATTTATCCGTACAATCACACATGAATATATATATATATATATATATATATATATATATATATATATATATATATATATATATATATATATATAAGTCTTCATAAATATTTTCATACACAGTGAACACAATTAAAAATCTTGTCCAAAATTAATAAATTTTATAGTGAATAAACATCTGGCAAAAAGTAAAGGCATCGAGAGGGAAAATGTAATGGTGAGTGAGTTATGCAAAACTGTATCAAAGTAAAAAAGGAATTGAAGTCATGCTGGAGAAATTAAAGTATAAAACATACCTTAGGTTGAAGAAGAGCTGGAGTTATCTGAGTTTGGGATCGGATATTATCTGAGTTATTGAATTTATTGAGCAAGAAATGAAATGAGCATAGCAGCAATGATGAGAGATGAGATAAGATCGGAATTATTGATGGGAGAGATATTTTTGTTTTTTAGAGAAAGTGTCACTTTTTTTCCTGTTATATACTTATACCACTTTTTCTCTCTGAATTATTAATGTAATAGTTTTTTTTTCTTCTTGAAATGTTAAATGAACATATTTGCGCTTAAAATAAATATTCCATTTATTTTTCTTCTCCAACAAATAATGACCACGATTTGGTTCAAACCGAACAGACACTATAACAACCAAACCGAAATATTTCGATTACAATTTAAAATCAAAATTCGATATTTAGAGTTTATTAAAATTGCTAATCGGAACGGCAGGTTCATGTTTCGAACTGAAAAAAAATACATTTATTGTTGAATTTAGATTATTTTAAAATTAAAAATAAATTTTTAAAATAAAGTTTGAACCAGCAGTTCAAACTGGATCTGGAACTGTGAACCAACGGTTCAAAATCAAAACCAAAACCAAAATCAAATCGCGGTCATATATTCTTATATGTGAGAATCAGAATAAATGTAAAAAAGAATTTACACTATTTGTAAATATTATAATTCTAATTTTAAACTAATACTAGTAGTTGTTCCAATTCGAGTCGCCGATTCACGATTCAAGATCCAATTTTTTGGATTCATGATTTTAATAAATTGAAATCCAAATATTGGGTTTGGATCTGAATCATAACCGAAAACTTTCAATTTGATCTCTAGTGTCCGGTTCAGTTCGAATCGAACCAGTGGTCATCCCTACGTATAAGTAATAATTTGTGTCCGCTGAACCATTGAGTCATCGTGATTTACATCCTTCCAAATGCTCTGTCGGGTCGATGTGTGGAGGGTCCTTAGGGTTGGGGATTCAACTCCAAAAAAATAAAATATTTAATTTAAGGATAGAGATGTCAAAATTTAATATATCATAGGAAAAATTGCCACTTTTAGAATAATTGAGGGGGCTAATATGCTTACATGAATAATTCAGGGAGAAAATGTGCAATAAACATATAATTCATGGGGAAAATGGCATTTTCCCTTTGTTTTAATTATTATTGGGGTCCATTAACGTACTCTTTTTTTTTTTTTTTCTAATAAAATGATAGTTTTAGTCTATTAACTATATTTAAATGAGGCAAAGCACTTTGTGCTCAGATGGCATATAGTAATTTTTCCATATAAGAGGTCATGAGATTGAGCCTTAGTGAAGGTATTCAAAAAAGAAAAAAAAAACATTTGTGTTTCAATAGGTTGAGAAAGTATGTTTGAACAAAATAGAGCCAGTAGTATTTAAAAAAGAGAAAATATTATTTTTAGTCCCTCGACTATAATATATGTATCAGTTTTAGTCCTTGACTATTAAAATTTTCAATTTTGGTGCATGAATATTCAATTTGTATCACATTTGGTCCTTGACTATTAACATTTTCAAATTAGGTGCATGACTATTCAACTTGTATCACATTTGGTCCTGTCGTTAAATTTTCTGGTCAAAATTCCTGCCAAGTCACCGGTGACGGGCTAATTTATTTAATTTTTATTTTAAATAAATTTTATTTTATTTTATTTATAAGTATATTAATTTAAAATAAAAATTAAATAAATTAGCCGGTCACCGATGACTTAGTCGGAATTTTGACCAAAAACGGCAGGACCAAATGTGATACAAGTTGAATAGTCATGCACCTAATTTGAAAATATTAATAATTAAGGACTAAATGTGATCCAAATTGAATAGTCATGCAACAAAATTAAAAATTTTAAAATAGTCAAGAACTAAAACTGATACATGTATTATAGTCGATGAACTAAAAATAATATTTTCTCTATTTTAATTGTAGACTGAATCCATAAATTATTATCCTATACATTATAATCAAAGGGTCAAGAGTGTTATTTTTTTTTATTTAATTCATACGTGATGAATATGTAATTAAAATGCCAGAAATATAAAATATTTAGTTGGAGAGTAAATAAAATTTCCTAAAATTTTATAGTGAAGAGTATTCAATTGAAACAAGACAACTGTTCCATACAAGCTTTGAAGAGAATTAGATATGACAAAAGTTTGTGTGAGACCGTCTCACCATAAGACAGGATAAAAATGTAGTACTTATGTGCACAAACGTAATACTAATTAAGATAAAATATTTATTACTTATATGAGAAAATGTAATATTTTTATGGGGAAATTTAATACAAATACATTTTTATTCAAAATATTCCATTCTTCCTCAAAAATATTACAAAGTATATTTGTTCTTATAAGTATTAAACACTTGTCACCATTACTTATTAGATAAAATGTAATACTTTTGATGGGAAAATATAATACTCCTACATCAACATGTAAAAATATTATATTTTTAGAAAAAATGTACAATTAGACCATTGAACTATTTGGAGATAGCAATTAAGCCACAAAACTCGAATAAATTCTAAAATTATCCATAAATCTAGAAAAAAGAAGAAACTATTAAAGAAGAACTATTTGGAGATAGCAATTAAGCCACAAAACTCGAATAAATTCTAAAATGAGTTAATACCCAAAATCGTCCTCGACTATAGTGGTTTTTCTCAATTTCGTCCTAAACGACTTTGGTGACCTAGTATCGTCCCAGACTTTTGTGTTTCGCTCAATTTAGTCCTCCATTTGTTATTCCGTCAAATTGGTGTTAAATTTAGGGACAATTCAGTAATGTCAATATTGATCTCTCTTTACTTTCAACTTGTGAAGTGCGAAATTCCTCTTTCTTGTACGAATTACACCCAGAATTACTCCCGGACCTGCAAATCAAATTTTATATTTGCAGTTTTAGGAGTAATTCTGGGACTAATTCGTAAAAAAAAAGGGATTTCGCAGTTCACATGTCTATGAGTAAAGAGATGTCAATATTAAAATTACTTAATTGTCTATTTATTTAACACCAAATGGATAGAATAACAAATGAGGGACTAAATTGAGCAAAAATACAAAAGTATGGGACGAAATTGAGCGAAACATAAAAGTCTGGGACGATATTAGGTCACCAAAGTCGTTTAGGACGAAATTGAGAAAAACCACTATAGTCGAGGACGATTTTGGGTATTAACTCATTCTAAAATTATCCATAAATCTAGAAAGAAGAAGAAGAAGAAGAAGAAGAAGAATCCATAAATCTAGAAAAAAGAAGAAACTATTAAAGAAGAACTATTTGGAGATAGCAATTAAGCCACAAAACTCGAATAAATTCTAAAATTATCCATAAATCTAGAAAGAAGAAGAAGGAGGAGGAGAACTATTTGGAGATAGCAATTAAGCCACAAAACTCGAATAAATTCTAAAATTATCCATAAATCTAGAAAGCATTTTTAGCCAAGTGCTGATTCGCTATCAATTAGGTACAAGATGTTAGTCCATTAGGTGATACAACTTCCAGAAGTGGACATCTCTCCCACCCCTCTCTCATCTTACTATAAGCAGATAAGAGTTAGAAATCTTTTTCAGCTGTCGGTGGAAACCAAAGGATTATATATACTTCTTTTGTATCTTTTATTTATACAGTAATTTGACTAATTTCATAAGTGTTTTATTTATGCAGTAATATATGTTATTCTCATGTCACAAACCTTTTTGGTCGGAATGTAAATCGTATAAACTTTTTGTTGATTTCAAACAGAATAAAGTGCAGAAAGGAAGGAGGAGTGAGGTTCACTGTCAGTTGTGCAAGAATATTTATCTCAGTGCTAATCAGAAATGTTGCCGGTACTGGTGATATAATTGCAGTGAAAATTAAGGGTTCAAGAACAGGATGGCTTCCAATGGGTAGGAATTGGGGCCAAAATTGGCACATAAATGCACTTGAGGAGTCAATCACTATCGTTCGAGATAACTAGCAGCGATCGTGTAACCCTGACATCTTAAAATGTTGCTCCCAAGAACTGGAATTATGGGCAGACCTGCCCAAATTGTTACGCCTTTCGTGCGGGTCGGAGCTTACCCGATAAGGAATTTCGCTACCTTAGGACCATTATAGTTACGGTTGCTGTTCACCGGGGCTTCGGTCGCCGGCTCCCCTGTCATCAGGTCACCAACTTCCTTAACCTTCCGGCACTGGGCAGGCGTCAGCCCCCATACATGGTCTTACGACTTTGCAAAGACCTATGTTTTTGGTAAACAGTCGGCCGGGCCTGGTCACTGCGACCCCCTTTGTGAGGAGGCAACTCTTCTCCCGAAGTTACATGGCTATTTTGCCGAGTTCCTTAGAGAGAGAGTTGTCTCGCTCCCCTAGGTAGAGGGGTATTCTCTACCTACCCACCTCCCACCTGTGTCAGTTTCGGGTACAGGTACACTTCAAACAGTTTGAAACTTAGAAGTGAAGCATCCTAGAATTGCATCAAACAATTGGTCTTTTATCACTTGATCAAAATGGCAGCAGTTAAAATTCCATCATCATATATGAGAAGTAAAAGAAATTTTATTGATTTTAAAAGTACAAAATTTGGAGTAACATTAAAGAATGCTATATAATCTTTCATTCAAAGTCCTACATACAGAGAAAGGTAAAGTGAGATCCCATGCACATTACACTGTATCAAATGATATATATATGCTCACATCAAGATTGGATGAAGGAAATGATTCGAGTAGTCGACTTTTCTTGCTCTACAATACACGTGTGTGGGTTGATATTAAACTATACCTAATACACTTGTACACGATAGAGAAATGAGTGGCCACAAACTTCAATGTAAACTATTATCACAAAAACTTTGGTATTTAAGTAACAGTTTCTGATGGACGCACCTGGAAAGAAAGGGCTTTTCTGGCTTGCAAGTGCCCTCTTTCTCTCTCAAATGTCGGAGAAACAACAACAGCCCTCCATCATAACTTCTGGTTAGATTCTATAAGCAAGCCGTTTAACATGATCTGAACTGCAGCTTCGTAGACAATCCCATTGTAATGCATACCATCAGTAGTGCATTCAGCCCCGCAGTTATGAGTGAGAGTATGAAAATCCAACAAGAAAAACGGGCCGCCAAATTGTAGCAGCAGCTTACTTCTGTAGAGCTCGTCATTGTAAGCTTGCCAATGAGCTTCCGTCATCCTCTCCCGCTTTGCATTTGTATTCAACATTGAATTTATCAGCATTGGCATGCCAAGCCAAAACAACTGCGGGGAACGAGCAGAAACCGTCCCTGTTCTCGGCTTGTCATCAGAAACAGTATCGAGGTAGACGGGCAACGACATAACTAGTGAATCCCGCAACAACTTGAGGGAAACGCCATAATCTGATGCATCGTTCACGTGTAGCATATCCCAGAGTCCTGACCCCATCACCAATACATCAGGGTAATTATTTTTATCCTTGAACTCAAACATCAAACTAGTCAGATTACTCACATATGGTGCCCATCTAAAATCAAGCTTCATCCCAATTTTACCCACCACAGTGCTATAATCACTATGCCTCTTAAACAAATCATCTCTAATCAATTCCATCTCATTTGGCCACAGTAATAACTCCAACACCGAAACCACCACCAACCTCGCCTCAGAATCCCCAGCCACCACAACCCACGACCCGTTTAACAAATCCGAAGCATCCGATTTCCCCAACTTCTGGAATTCACACTGATCCACCGGTTCAGAATCCACCCACTTCCACTCCCAAGATTTATCATAAAGATCACTAGTGTTAGTACCAGATGCCAGAATACTAAATGCGACTTGATGAAGTAAAGAAATGCAGGAATCTGGATTTGAATCTGCGGATAAGGAGGAGGATTGTAAACCTGGAGAGGAAAGGAAAGAGGAGATGGCAGGGAAATAAGGGGCTAAATGAACGCCGACGGAGAGGGTGATGAAGAGGGCGCAGCTAAAGAAGAGCATCTTGTTTCGGCTCAAGTGCCAGCCCGCCATGACTAGCGGAACAAAAAGAACTATGCAGGCCGCCAATACTCCCAATTGGACAGCCCCAAACATTTATCCAACTTTGCCTGCAAAAATTTTAACAATTATTGTGGTGAGGTGCAGGGACAGAGCCAGGATTTATCTTGAGTGGGAGCAAAGAAGCAAACGGAAAATGTTCAAATACAAAAATAATTAATATAATAAGTTCTAAGATCTAACTAAAATAATTACATAAGCAAAAATTAAGCAATACATTATGCATAAATCAGCCCATCACGGTCAGATATGCATAGTATCATATTCAATTCCTCATATTACATAAGCAAAAACTTTCAACACAGATTACCAATATATCATATATGCATAGTATCATATTCAATTCCTCATATTTTTTTTATGCAACACCATAGCTAAATGCCTAAATCACAGATTCACAGTTCACAGAATTCCAATTTCCAAATAAGCATAACTCACCATAGCTAAATCACAGATTCACCATACTATTAATTTAAATTGCTCAGTTAAAATAATACTAGTAAAATACGAATACTGCAATTTCATGTATAAACAGGTTTAGGGAGACTATGGGAGCTCCAAAATACTTATGTCGATATGATTACTAAATCCTTCGTTTAATATATTTTTAGTTTGTTATAAAGTTAGTTGAAGTTTTACACCTTAATTTGATACTTTTCTTAAAAAATAAATATTAAGTTTAAATAAAACACTTAAACCATGACTACTTTGTAAAACACGAACAACAAGAACATCCACATAGTCAATTACAGTAAGAGAACAAAAAATAGTTTACCTGCTTTCTCTGTGTATTAGTATCAAAATGCTAACCTCCTCCTTAGACTAGGGGAGTCTTAACATACCCTTTATATATTCCATATCCATGTACATTGTGCTGTGAACAATATATAATATTAATTAAATATTCTGTTTCTCTATAACATTAATTTAATATATACTAATCTAAATTCAAAACAATTTTACATTGTCCATTAACTGCAAAATTTCTATGAAAAATGAGATTGCATATCAACAGAACTGTTAGGCTTCTGGAAGAGTATATTACTGGATTATATGAGACTGTGATTTCTACTTGAAAAAACCATTAGATATATACCCGACCCCAATTTTTTTTTTTTTTTTTTCTGAGATTAACAACTTCAAATTACACTTTACATTTCTAATATGCTGTTGCAAGTAGAAATGTTCATAGATAGAAATAATTTAGGAGATAACACCGTAGGTAATAGAGTTCGAGATTTTTGGATAAAAACTTTTCTTAGTGTGCATTCCTTAGGATATAGAGGCATTTTCATAAGCTTTTCCAACTTATTCGTAAAAGCAGTCCTGTATACTTTTTATTTAGCTGTAAAAATTCAATTTAGTTAGTAATCTATGTTAATACAGAGTAAAGTTGTAAAAAGCTTAAATAAGTGTTTTAGACATATTTCAGAGTTTAGGATTAAGCTACTAATATGTATTCCTTCTACGAATCATACCTAGAAAATCAGAGAAATCCTAACCTTTAAATCATCTTAGTGTTCCAATTATTTCAGAAATTTAGAGAAAAGGAAATGAAATTGCTGAAATTTAGCATAATACGGAATATATCATAGACATACCTATTAGACAAAAATACATCCTTGCTTGGAAGTGTGGAAACGACGATACTTGGTTGTGAAATCTACAGATCGATCTGCTTCCAGATCAAACATGCCTGGATTCGAAAACTCAGCTCTAAGAAAAACAAAATTAAACCCAATTTTGGAGATCAAACTCAGTGAGATTAAACTTGGACGGCTCTCCTCACCAGTAAGTGTGATGCCTCAATTGGCTTGCTTTAGGTGACTCATACAATGAAATGTGGAGATTTGGGAGAGGGCGGTGGTGAATGAAAATGGCGCAAACAAAATGTGGAGATCTGGGAGAGTGTTGCGGTGAAAGAAAATGGGCCAAATGGCACAGAAGGGAATGTGGAGAATAATTGGGGTTAGGATAGTTTTATATACATAGTCAAACAGGTGTTGACCCTATGTATATAGTATAGTTTTTTACGAGCGAATGAGATAATGCCTAATAATTATTTTTAAATAAGTATTTCAAAGTATATCAATGTAATATTATATAGGAGATGTTTATGCATGCGTAATAAATGTTGAATTTGTTTATTTAAATCGGTAATTTAAAGTATATAAATTCAAGATAATATATGAGAGAATGATTATAATTGTCACTAAAATAAATGTTTGCAACTTTGTATAACGCTAGTCTAAATATTTAGTCTAAATAAATACTACTTTTGGTTTAAATTTCTCTAATTCTTGCTTTAGATTTGCCTTGCTGTGTATATGACTGAGATTTTAATTAGATGTAATATGAACTCTTTATCTTACAAACACCAATTGATATTTAGTAGTGGTAGTTTTTCCCTACATGTTTCATGTGTTGCGAGATGTGTGTCGTAGGTTATCAAGTGAAAGTATTGAACAAAATATCAATGTTTATTATATTTGTATAAAATACTTGGTAAATAAATATATATACTCCATCTGTCTCATTTTATCACTCCTACTTACTATTCATGGGTCAAACTAACTTTTTCTTCTTTATTTATTTTCTTTAGTATTTTTACTTATTTTTAAATTTGATTTTTGTGTTCAGTAGTACTTTTAGTGTAGTTTCTAAATATATAAATTTTGTATTCTAATACTAAACATAATATTATGAAAAATTGGATTAAAAATAACTTCAGTCAAGCATCGTTAACTGAACCGGACATATAAAATTGGACAGAGGGAGTAACATGTTTTGTATTATAACTTTGATATTTTTTTATTTTTTGAAATAAAAACTCATGATTCTTTACAAGGTAATTGTTAGTGTTTTGTTATTCTTCATAAAACCCCAACATATGATTAGCAATATTATTATGGTAAACTAAGATAGGGTTTAGCTTGGTGTTTGTTTGCTGCTACAGAAGACTGATTGATCAGAGACATCAACAGACGCACTGACACTGAAGATCTGATAAAGGAAGAAGTTTCCAAAACACTGAACGCGGTTTGAAGACTTTTGGAAAGAAAATCAGCGGATCTGTTTTGGAAGGTATGAACCGAATCTCTAAGATTGCATTCTTCACAAATCGTCCTACCATCTACAATCAAAGATATTTTTGGAGAGTGGCTTTTCTAAGGAAGTATAAGCACCCTCATTCGGTCATGAATTAGGGTTACGTTTTAAGAAGACAAAAAGGCACTCCTTGCTATACAGAAGATCACATCTTTGATTATGTCTCTTCTCAAGAATATATGTTCTTGGTGATTATGATGAAGAACTTGAGAAGAACTATCGTTGCTTAAACGAAAGGACGCGAAGATCACTCAGTTGTGGGAACAACGTGGGACTGCGTCATTGAAGCGGACTGCATCAGAGTTAGCTCTCCAACCGAAGGGATTTCGTTGGACTTCTGCATGCGTGGCTCTCCGTCTTCAACAATTCACTAAACCTTTGTAGACTGGGTACGTACCTTGTGTGGGGCACTTGGGTGAGATTCTTGTTTCTCTACCTTTGTACATTGGATTATGAGTTAGTGGATTGGACGCCTCAGTGATCGTCCCCCAAACATAGATACACACTGTACCGAACTGGGTAAACATCGTTTGTGTGGCTTTACTGTTTGCTTTTAGTTTTTCCTCGACAAACTAATCTTCTATCTATTCGTCTGACTGACATCTCACGTCGTTATATCAGTCAGTCTTCTACAAGGTGCTTATTGCTAATACAATTATCTTAATCTGGGAAAATGCAAAATTACATGTGGTATCAGAGCTTTTAAGTCTACACAATGACTTGATCCTTACGGGAAGTTTTGTTTTGCATTTTTCTCTCGTTAAGAAGCTGTTTCTCTTGTTATCTGTTGGGTATCTGTCTGCTTTCTGCATGTGTTTTTGGCTGGGTGTCTTTTGATGCAGGATGGATGCAAGTATGAAACCACCTGAATTGGATGGCCACAACTATTCTTTCTAGAAGGCTCGAATGGAGATTTATCTTCAGGCACAAGGTACCAGAGTTTATCGTACTGTCCTCACTGGATGGAGTCCTTCGACAGTTCAGAATGCTGATGGAACTGCTGGGGCCAAACCTATTGAGACATGGACTGAAGAAGAGATGACGTCCTCTGATTTAAATAATAAGGCTCTAAACTCTATTGTTGGATCTCTGCATGAATCAGTCTTTACTCTTGTCACCGGAATAAAAGAAGCAAAATGAGTATGGGACACTTGAAACCAGATACGAAGGTACCAGTGATGTCAAGCAGTCAAAACTTCAGTTGGTACTATCAGAATTTGAATCTCTCAGGATGGGTGAAGAGGAAACGATTTCAACCTTTCACAGTCGGGTTCAGAATTTGATGAACAGAGCCTCTGTACTTGGTGAACCTTTTACTGATGAAAGAGTAGTCAAAAAGATCCTTCGATCTTTACCCAAACGTTTTCGAATGAAGGTGACTACAATTCAAGAACACTCAGGCTAGGAGAAAAAGAGTGTGGGTGAACTTATGGGAAGTTTACACACTTATGAACTTGAAGTGCTAGCTGATGATGAACCTGTAACCAGCAGAAAAGGCAAGTTAGTAGCTTTTGTTGCCGAAGCTGATCGAGAATCTGACACAGATGAAATCGATGACGAAGCCTTGGCCCTTCTAACAAAGAACTTTAAGAAAATATTGAAAGGCTTCAACCGCAGGAGTCAAGGACAACCCAACAGGACACAGTACAAAAGTGGAAACTCCTCATATCAGAAAACAGAAACGCCCTCCTTCTCACAGAACAGTCAGTCTCAAAGTGGCCGAACAAGACAAATCAGAAGTAATCCGACTGACACAGTTAAACCCCTAAACAGATTAGTGCAATGTCGAGAGTGTGAAGGATTCGGACACATACAATCTGAATGTGCAACTTATCTCGAAAGGAAGAAAGCTATGTCGGTAGCTACCCTCAATGATGATGAAGATAAAGCAGCAAATGATCAGTCTGATGAAAATGTGGAAACTTCGTGGCTTTCTTTACGGCAGCAGAAAATCAATCAGAAGAGAATGATACAGATGAAGAATCTTACATATCATCAGATGACTTTGAAGAGAGACATACACAACTGGAACTGGAATTTGCTAAACTAGTTGGAAGTTGGGAACAACTGGTGAAAGTTAACAAGAGTCTGAATGACGATCTGAAGCAACGAGATGATCACCTGAAGAAACTATCTACTGAACTCGTCCTAAAAGAAGATCTCATCACTCAGATAAGATCACGAGAGGGAAAATTGATAAAGGAATTGGAGGACTTAAAGAAGAAAATCAAGATGATGGATACCACCTCTACCTTAGACAAAATTCTGGATTCTGGTCAAAATCCAAATGACAAAAAGGGACTTGGTTTTGAACGAGGAGAGTCCTCAAAGATGGCACCTATGTTTATAAAAGAAGGAACATCAGTTGGTAGATCATTTCACAATTATGATCAAAGTCAATCATCACAGATAAAACAGAAAGGGAGCATACACACTTGGATTGCTGACCCTCAATCTGGCAGATTGAAAATACAATCCTAGTACTCAAGGTTCAAGACCAAGCTTGTAAAAGTCAGACAATACATACCCGTCACTACTGTCAAACAAAAGGGCATACCCGACCTGAATGTTACTTCTTCTACAGAGATCAGAGGAAGGAGAAATACCAGAACAAGTCCATTACTCCCTTTGTGAGACAAGTTTGGGTTAGGAAATCAGAAGTAATCTGCTATCCCACAATAGTTCTGACCGCCTCTATGACTGCAACAAGATGGTACTTCGACAGTGGATGTTCCAGACACATGACTGGGAATGTCAAGTGTCTCATGTCTGTTCAGCCTAGCAGTGGATCAGTTACGTATGGAGACGGGCAAAAAGGAAAGATAGTTGGAAAAGGTATCCTAAATGTTCCAGGTTTACCACATCTGGATGAATTTCTCTTAGTCAGTGGACTGAAAGCAAATCTCATTAGCATCAGTCAGCTGTGTGATCAAAATTGGAACGTGTGTTTTAATCGTGACTGCTGTAGAGTCCGTGATAAAGCAGACCAAGTGGTAATGGAAGGAACACGATCCTCTGACAATTGTTATGTTCTAACCAATGAACCTGCTTGTCTAATATCTAAAACAGATGAATCAAAACTGTGGCATCGACAATTGGGTCACATAAACTTCAGAGATATGGATAAAATGATCAAGTTAGATGCTGTTGGTGGGACACCAAAGCTCAAAATAGAACAGGAAGGAGTCTGTGGAGCATGTGCCATTGGAAAGCAAATAAGGGCTCCTCACAAAGCAGTAAAAGTGATCACTACTGAGAGATGTCTAGAACTGGTTCATATAGACCTCATGGGACCAACTCAGATCGAAAGCATTGGCGGAAAGAAATACATCTTTGTCTGTGTAGATGACTCCTCTCGGTTCAGCTGGGTATACTTTCTGAGGGATAAATCTGAGGCATTCAATGCATTCAATACTCTATGCATAAGAGTGCAGAAAGAAAACGATGAACTAATAATAAAAATCCAAAGGCTAAGAAGTGATCATGGGAAAGAGTTTGAAAACTCTCTATACTCAGATTTCTGTTCTGAAAATGGTATAGCTCATGAGTTCTCAGCTCCCAGAACAGCTCAACAGAATGGTGTGGTAGAAAGAAAGAACCGGACCTTACAGGAAATGGCTAGAGTTATGTTACACGCATCGCATTTGCCACAGCGTTTCTGGGCTGAAGCAGTACACACAGCATGTCATACTGTGAATAGAGTATATCTCAGACCAGGTACGTCTAAGACACCATATGAGATATGGAAAGGGAAGAAGCCAAATTTAAAGTATTTTCATGTTTTTGAAACGAGGTGTTATGTACTAATTGGTAGGGAACAAAGAGGAAAGTTTGACCCAAA